TAGCCTTCACCTTTGGGAATAGCAGCGTCGTTGCCGAAAACTGACTCCACCGCCACAGCTCCGACTGCATTTGCTCCATTCACCCCAGCTCCCCCAGACATCAACCTGCCTTTTCATCCGGTGGCCCTGAAAATAAAAAACCCCACACACATAGCAAAAACACATGGCAACACAGGAAAAAAAATAAAAAGAAAATGAAGCAGAGAGACTATGTGTTCCCTTGCAAAAAAAGGCTATATTGCTGTGCTGTATTCCTAACATGAAAAGTGGCACACAGTACTACATCAGAAAGATCAGGTCTCTAGGAGTATTAGCTTGCTGAAGCCATATAGCGCATCCAGCTTCATAATCTCTCTTAACTGCTACTGTTTGGCTATTCATAGAATTTCAGCACTTTTGAATAACAATCTAATAGAAGATAACATCTTTGTCTCAGCAAAGCAGCAAAGGCAAATCATTACTTCAGGGACTCTGAGCCCTGTCACTCCACACCAGATCAATAGAGCCACGTAAACCCAAATCCTTGGCTCTAAATCCAATACTTAAGAGAAGTAAAGGAAGCTGAAAAAAATGCCCCAGAACACACTTTTTAGTGCAACAGAATTCCATATATGGAGCTTTATTCTCCTTACCCAACTGTGTCCAATGACAATGTAAAGGTCTGGGCCCTCATTAGCAAAACCCTTATTAATTTTGTATTTAAAAAGTCAAATACTGACATTAAGATAAATAACCATGATAATATAGACAAAAATTTACAAGTGTGATGGAACCAACCAAAATACATTGACTTCAAAATATATGAAATATCATATTTTCAGAAAAAAAAGGCCTTCTGCAGCTGATGGGATCCACATACAGCAGGACATGTGTGTTTAGTGGGAAGAATGGCAATATCTTAAGGGAAAAAGTAATATTTTCAAGATTCAGAAGGATTAATTCTGCTTGAAAAAAGAAGTTAAGTGCAGGGTTACCTGGTGAGTGACACTGTAAAAACAGGGTTTGCTGGGCAGATGCAAAATATAGGGCAGTTTATGTATACAATTGTACTGCTGAGAAAAGGTAGTACAGGCCATTTGGGCACTGAGACATTTGCTGTAGTGAAGAGTGGGCAGGCAGAGAAAAAAAGGTTAAAAATTATTGTGATGTGATCTAACTTGCCTCCACACATAAACATCCAAACCTCTGCTAGAAATAGGAGCTAGTCTAATAAATCATCCAGTGAGTCCAGCTCAGGCAAGATGCATGGATTAATCCACCCTTGTCAGTTAGACAGGTTTTATAGTTTTTCACACACTCTCTGCCTTACTGTATGTCCAAGCTACAGTCTTGTTTCTTTACTTCACCTTAATTCCCTGCTGCTGGCAGAGGAACAGTCAGAAATATTAGAAATATTAGCCAATCATATCTAGGCATTTACTACCAAATTACCCACAACTATATAGCTGCAGAGTCACCCCAAATTATTACCTCTATTTCTCTAATGTGAAACACTTTCTTCCTAGCTCAGCTACTTACCTTTCTTCACACATTTTTTTCTAATACCTCTGGTTCAGATTAACTCTGTTTGTCTTCGCCCTGCTTGTTCAGTGGCACTGCCCAGGTTACAGCCACTTCTACATACCTCCTCTTGGCCAAGTCAACATCTCCCTGATCCTGTGCCAAACCCTTCTCCCACTCTTTCACTCCAGATATTCAGCTCACTGTTTGTCTCCTGCATTCTCATTTGCCTTTCTGGGCATAATCCCAACAATAGTGTTTTAGCTTTCAGCAAGGTTTTTTCAGCAATCTTATTTTCCCAAGTTTTTCTTTCAGACACCTAATTCCTCTCTCCCTGTAATCCCTCCTCCCTTACCCTCAAAAGAATAAAATACACTAGCACTCTTTCTCACAGTCTTATTCCTCTGTATCAACTGACTGATTTAGGTGCAGTATTAGCTCACCCTGGAAACAAGGGACCTTTCAGTCAGCATAAGGGAGAAGGAAACATGTAGATAAAAATCCAAAGGAAGAGCATTTGAAAGTCAGATTACTGGAAGCCAATTAGGATAGAAAGCCCTTCCTTGACACACACACACCACCCTGATAAATATTCCAATATCCCTCCTACAGAACTAGCATTATTTATTCCTTCTATAGAGAGTAAAATCTGCAGGGACTCTTTGTTCTAAGGCTTATGCATACACAGAGTGCATGAACAATCATTTTTCTCAGTATCACTCCATTTATGTACACCCCAAAAGGAGCATTAGACAAAAGAATCCTCCCTAAGCTGTACAGTGTCAGAGAAAGATTTTAATAGGGGCCCAACTCCCATATTTGGAAATCTGTGTATGGTCCTCATTGCTTCAGTAACTGCACATGTGTAGGCAAACAAAGATAAAGCTGCATGTTTATAATAACAAATATATTATTACATAACCTGACAACAGGACAGTTTTAGATGCTGTCAGACAGTTTCTATTCCAAAAGCCTCTTTCTGCTCTCTTCAGACTCTGGGATGCTTTTATCTCATGTCAGCCAGGACAACTAAATTCCATTCCCTCATGGATTTCAGAATGAAAAATCTACAATCTTCATCACTGTTACAAATTCATTTGGTTCCATTCTTCCCTTGCTTCAGCTTGACATTCATACAAGAATGTAGATTCTTTATCTGCATAAAGTATATATTTTACTGTTTCAAGAGAAAAGAGAAAATGCACACAACCATCTTTCTTGACTTCTAAAAATTCCCCAAAGAGCAGTCAATTAATGCCCAACTGCTCTGTCCATGTCTAGTTTTATCACCAGTTGAGACACCAGCAATGCATCCTTTCTGGGAATATTGATATTGCCCATGACCCTGGCACTGTGGGCTCTCAGGGTCCATTTGCATACAGGCTGCTGTGGTATACAAGTTTAGAAGGCCAGGATTTTATTTTTATGAACACTGCATTGCTTTCATCAGTTCCTAGACAGAAGAACTGCTGATGTAGTTGCAGCATCTGCTGTTACCAGGCCAACTGCATCTGACATCATCAGCAAGTCAAGAGCTATGCCTCTGAGTCATTAGACCTCCAGACCTCATCTGCAAAGACAGTTCCAGTATGCATCACAGGCAAACAAAAGAATTCTGGAAAAGTGTACTAGATAGCTTATTATATACCATGTAATGTTTATTTTTGTGTATGACACATGTACTGGAAGAGAAGCTATGAATGGGCACTATGTAGGAGCACTTTAAAGGGTGTCCTTGAAAGACTTTCCAGTCAGTTTGATGAGATGGATAGGAAACTATGCATGGGAAGAGGACTGTGCTTCCCAGGCAAACACATTGCAGGCATGCAGCAATCCACATAGTTAATATCACCAGTTTGGAGAAGTGATTCAGTGGGAACAATTTCCTAGTGCCTTGTTGCAACTCAAATACTAGCAAGCTATCAAAGGAAACATCAATTTACTATACAGTCCCAAGTGAGCAATGAAGCTCTGCAGTCACACATCCCAACAACCTACATCCCAGGTAAGTTCTTACCCCTTGCCCCTTGGGCACCTTTCAGGACTCAGAGATAGTCACCCTGGGTTATTTTGTGGGTTTTTTTGGTGCTGCTTTTCCAGACTGACGAGCAGCAACAAAATACCCTGTTGCACTACTCCAACAGCCACTACTCAAAGCATGTGGTTACTGATAACCACGCTATGCCCGAGAGGTTTCAGACAAGGCCAGTGGTCACTTTTAGCCCAGAAGGTTGCACAGCTTTGGCCTATTGAGGTGTGACTGAAGCATCATTTTGGACACTGAAATGTTGTTACTGTGACTTCTGGAGCTGTTTCATATGCTTACTAAGTTCCACTGGAATCAGATACAAATCTCAGAGTGGACAGGGAGAACGTGGCAAGAAATAGAGGCTGACAACAAGGCTCTGTTCAGCTGTTACCTACTGAAAACAAATATTGCTCACAATGATAAGTAATGTGGTGTTACAGTTATATAGTGTTTCCATGGCTTAAAACTCAGACTCTCTCTCTTTAACCTTTCTTAGTATTTTTGAAATAGCACTGCATCATTTTATTTGATGAATATCTACTTTCTGGTGTTTATAGTTTCTGAAATATGGTTGATGTTGATTTTGACACACCCTGAACTATAGCAACATTTAGGAAACATGTAGGAGAGAACGGTGAAAAACAAATACTTTACAAAAGAAAACTATCACCACTATCACTTCTATAATGGTTTCATTGCCAAAGCCTTGGCAAGTAAGAAGTCTCCAGTGAAAAAATGCAACTTTGACAACATTGAATAATAAGTGCTTAGGGAGAAGTTAATTGCTCAGAGAAAAGTTCATAATGGAAAGGGAAAAAGAAATAAAGTGTTAAGTGCCCCAAAGGTTGGCTGTTCCCTGTGGGCCAGTAGTGGAAGGCTCTCCCAGGACAGCAAGCCAGGGAGCAGCACAAACCAGGGAGCAGCACAAGCCAGTGAGCAGCCCCAGTCCTGGGAACTGGGCACCTCCACCTGAAACCAGGCTGGGAGTTGGGACTGCAGGTGGGCCTGACTCATCAGGGCCCATGGCTGGCCAGGCAGAGTTGTGCAGATCCTCAACCACACAGGAGCCAGAAGTCCCAGGAGCCTAAAAGGGTGTCCTGGGCAGTGGGCTGGGTGCGGAGAGTCCAGTTAGGGCCTGTAAGGCCTAGTAGTACCCTCAGGGCCCTAACAAAAATAACCCACATGGACTGTGTCCTTAGACCATGTGCTCTTTGGGATACGAACTATTTCCTTCTCCTTTCTATATCCAGAAAAATTACCCAGTACTACAATGACGACCACCAAAAATATATTTTCACATATCTAAGCTCTGCATGACATGTGGTATCCAACTCTCAAACTTAATTGAAAGGGAGCTGAAAACATTCAGTATATGTTACATGTTCATAATTTAGATACTTGCTGCTATGCCAATATGCATTTTCAAGATGGCTTCATCTGCGACCAGCTAGGATATTAACCAAAAATGCTACCAAAAAAGAACTAATGAATCCAAATCACATCAGCAAAGAATATTTTTCTAATTCTATCTTAACCATTCATCTTGGCACAGACACAGCAGGCTTGCAAAGAGCCTTGAAGGAGAATAATGCCAAGTACCATTTCTATGAATAATGAATAAGCAATCAAAGAATTGTATTTGAGTAAAATAGAAAAACAAGAATGAAAGTGAACAAGATAGTGACAGCAGGAAGCAAAATACAAAGTGGTGCAGAAGAAGTGACTATCTTATTAACACAAGTTGCTTTACGGAGATGAGGGAAAAAAGGCTTTGTTAGCTTAAATGGCTTGTGGTTTACACTCACTGTGTACATCTCCTTTCATTCCACTCTCACCCTAGCCATAGCTCGTTAGCATATCCCCTCTAACAAAACCAGTAGAATCCAGCAGTTCCCCGATACCTTCATTTTCTCAAAACACTTAAGATTCTCCCTACATCACTGAACCAACTCTCTCATGGTTCCATGTTCCCTCTTCAACTCTTCAGCACACCTCTCTGGGCTGTCCCACCCTACAGCTAGCTCCTTCCACACCCATAGATTTTCTGTCAGCTTGGGAGGACATGGTGTATGCCTGGTGCACGGCACAGCCAGGGACATGCTGCCCCATGGCTCTGTGCCCCGTTGCTGGGCAGCAGGCAGAGCAGGTACCAGTTCTTTTCAGAAATGAAAAGGTTCCAGGAACTCTGGGTGGCCTGGAGATGAGGAGAGAATTTAAAGAACTCTAAAAAGATACAGGCATTGCAGAGAAGTCAAATTAATTCTTGGAATCCTTGTGGAGGAAATGGAGCACATTCAGAAAACTCTACAAAGAGGATGATTGTGAGTAAACTTTATGACCCCAAACTTATTTGGAAAAGTGGACAAAACACACAGTATGAAGTCACTAGAAGTTGTTTATCCAAGGGGCCTAACAGGAACTCAAGGTTGAAATGGATAAACTGTTACATACTAGCAGACAACCCTCTCAGCTAAATCCACTTCGACATGTGATTATTGGAAAGTGGAAAATCTGACACCAGTTTACAAAATTATCCCAGGGGAACCTATGGAACTGTACATTCACAGAGCGTAAAACTGACATCAGCTGATAAATTAATAGAAGTTATAACAAAGAACAGAGCTAGCAGGCACCTGCATAAATACAGGATGTTTGGGAAAAAGTTAGTAAGACTTTTAAAGGCAAATTCTTCTTCTTCTTAGAAGATTGCAGTTCTTAGAACATTCTAAATTCTTTTAAGAATATTGCAGTTCTTCAATTCACAAATACATTAACAAAGGTACTCTGCTAGATACACTCAGATTTGCAAAAAACTTCTCAAAAAAATCCTTCACCTAAAGCTTTGAAGGAAATTAAGCAGTCAGAAGGACAATTGTTCAATGGATGATGAGCAAGTGGCCCAAAGACAAAAGCAGGAGTAAAATCTCCATCCACTGCAAGACCTGACATTAGCAGCAGAATTCCATAAGGAACCAGAATGCCACAACACATTTACTAGTTATGCCAAAACCACAGAAGTAATGAAAGCAGATGATAAGGGTAATATAGGGTAGTAAAGGACAACAGAAAATCAGAAACATACTGCAAAGAAATATGGAAAAACATTATAGTATTAGCAATTTATCACTAAAATTACAGTGGAGATTTAATGTAGGCAACTTAAGTGACACACAGGGGAAACACAAGTCCTATCCCAAAATGCTATTATTTATTAATTATTAATTAATAATTAATGATAGTTGATATTTAGCTCTCAAGAGCGGGATCTTGGTATTATGGATTTAAGGAGGCATTGACCAAATTCAGGAAAGAGACAGAGACATCTCAAGCTGAAAGGGTTCATATACTGGAAGTGTATTGGGGAAATGATATTTGCCTATATTTAATGTTTTTTCTAGACACGTGCTCATGACATAGCTGTAGACACATTATAGGGCAAAACAAGCTGGTTCTACCTGGAAAAATTATTCTTGTGCATGTTTTCTCCCTTTCCCTCCATAGGGATAACAGTAAAATCTCCTTTTTCTCTGTCCTCACAGTAATTTTTACTGTTTCTGTATGACCTTAACTTTGATGTCCTTGTGCACCTTCTGCCCTTTGTTAAAGCTGGTTAAGACATCTAAAAGTTTATTCAATAGATTAGCACTTTAAACAATAACAATGTTAAATTATTCAGAATAAATTAAAAAGCAGCATTTCAACCTAGAAATGCAGATCCATATAAAGAAACAGTGTCCAGAGGAAATGTATTACTTGGACAGATCCAGTATGTCAGAGAAACTGACATACTTCAGCGGTGGCCAAGCAAAACTTCTTTCATTCAGCACAGCTTCAAGAGGAATTACTGATTGCATGCAGGAGGTAGGAATCTAAGGCTACAGAGAAATGTCAGCCTTCACAGTCTCAGGGTATTTCAGTAGTAGCCCTTCCAAAAAAAAAAAAAAAAAAAAAAAAAAAAATCACCAAAATCTCCAAATTGGAAATAGGCAGATGAACAGATTAACTGAATAGAATATATTCCATTTCTGGTCCCTTTAACATACAGTATGATTTTTTTTTTTTTTTTTTTTTTAGATGTGAGACAGCAAGCACTCATTTAAGTATATTTCCATCTGTAAGAGAAAATATGACAACCAACAAACTCTGCTTGATTTCTAGTCTCTCATCCCTGATCTTCAAAGGTGGCCTAGAAAACAAAACACTTACTCCAAGTGATAATTGCCTCAATTGCCTCTTTTTTCCCCCACTCTCTTTTCCTTTACACCTAACAAACATGTAATATCTTTCTTTGCTAACACTTTCACTGTTCTCTGCAGGTCATCTTTTACCTTAGATGACCAACTCACTAATAAAGTTTAACTCCAAGTCAGGGAAACAGTTCTCAAGCTTCAGAGAGATCCTGCTTCTCACTCAGAAAGAACAGGAATCCCAGTTTGTAATTGCTGCATTCTTTTTCTGATAATATCACATCGGCTTAACATAAAGTAACCTCTCCTAGCAAAGCTAAACCACATGGCTTATACTTCTAAGACCAAGGAAAAGAGAAAAATAAGTTAACAAAAATCCATTCTCTTTATTTCAAGTGATAAGTCTCTCTAGCTTTGAAGCAGGATACAGCAATTACTGCCTTGCAGATAACATCCCTAGAACCAAAGGCACAACCAGAATTCTATTATTTAATTGCCATGTTAGACTTTTCATAAGATGTGCCACAATAGGCCTGATGACTTGAACCAATTAGCTCTTTCAGAAATATTTTCTACAAAGCATTTGAGTTACAGATGTTGACAGTTCTTAACAGAAGTATCTTTCATTTCTTATAACAGTGTTCAGAAGAACATTTACTCACTGAAAATGCAGAAGGTGGTGTCATTGTTAGCATGAGCAGAAGGAACAGATTCTTCATCTCTGCCTGTGGGAACAGAAAAATTACTCACCAGGATTGCTTGCTTCTTTGCTGTTTGGTGGAAAAGATACAATATCATGAAGTAAAAATGGAGGTGGAAGTAAAATCAAGGGGAGAGGAAAAAAGCAGTTTTACCACTCAGCTCCCTGGATAGATGAAGGCATCTGCAAAGATTGAAATTACCCTGCACAGAAAGCCAGGATATAATTACTGAGAACGGGTATTTCCCTGAACTTTCCTCTGGTATTATGAGAACACCATCCCCAGGCACAGTGGAAGCTGCATGCTGTTGCATGTCTGCCCTCCCACCCCTTTATGTATACACCTGATAAAATACATGAGGATTGCAATGACTTCAACCAACCCAAGGTAAAAAATTCCACAGTTAAAATTTCTGTACCCTACATTCATCTTGTGTGGTTGTGCCTGTTTAAAATCCAACAATTCATGATGGACAGTTGTAGCTAGAGTCCACCATGACCAGTTATGTCCGTCTGCAGAGCAAGAAAGGAGATCAGGTCATGTAGGCTGGTATGGCAACATACAATAGCTCCTAAATTTGGGGCATCATCCACATTTTAGACCACAATACTTTGGTGGTACATTCCCTGTTGCTACTTAACCCTTCCTCTTTTCAGTTGCAGCGACACCAACCACCACACACCAGAGCTCACAGCTGTGACAGGGACACTTCAGCCACTACAATCGGACTCTTTCTCATCACCGTTTTCTAATGACCTTGTGACCAGTTAAGCCCAGGGGAAAAAAAAAAAAAAAAAAGTCAGACTAGATATTCCTAGCAGTTTTATCTAGTTTGGGCTTCTTTCTAACTTGGAAAACGAAAGGTAAAAGAAAAAATTTTCCTTTCACAGTATGCAAAAGCATCAAGGAAGAAATGTTTATTTAGTCAGTCCTTGTAACAATATCTGTTTTAATATTAAAACTTCATATATAGCTCCTTTAGCCTGGCCTATTAAATCCAGATAAAATACAGAATGTGTATCACTTTTAACAGTGATAACATTGACATAAAGTCATTGTTGCATGAGGATATGACATCAGAACCAAGAAATACCCAAAATGAAATTTAGTTTATCTGGTATTTGAATATTTCAAGTTGCTTTATGATGGGTAGCCATTTTTCTTATAGTCTTAGGCCTCAATGAACAGATTTTATTACAACTCTCCAAGTCCATATATACCATGGATTTTAACACTCCCAACATTCACCATGCTGAGAATAAAAAGCTTGTTCTTAAATACTTTCAGATGTAAAAGCTACTAAAAAAAAAATCAGTTGCATCAGTCTCTGCAAAATAGTAATGAGCAGGGAAAGTGGAATCGGGAAAACAAGCACTGATACTTCTCTCCCTAGATACTGAGCACCATAAGAAAATGAAGATATAGGAGCTTTTTATATGAAAAGGCTATAATTAATTTTGGTTTAGTTATTCTTAGGAAAATGAGGGAAGACTTTGTATCCTCCATCACCCACAGGTTCTACTACTACTCTTCCTATTCAAATCAGGGAGAAACAACCTGGGGATACCCTCTAGAAGACGTCAAGAATGCTCTCTGTGCTGTATCTCTGTCACAACCCTACCAAGCATCCTACCCTTTCTTAAGGGAAGCACAGGCAAGAAGAGACCCTTTTGCTACAAGATCTGTATACCCAAGTAGCAAAGTTCTCCTGAATGACCTTATAATGGCCCACAGCACTAGGAAAAGGCACTGTGAAAGCAGCATCTTCCTTGAATGGTGTTATATTTGACATCAGCTCCTATTCCTGCTACCAAGAGCAAAAAAAATCATCTCTTTCCCAGCACTTCTCTCTCATATATTGCACTTCCAGCCACCTCTCAGCTCCACAGATATGGCCTTGAAAATCAAACCCTTGTTCTGCTGCTAATGAACTGTCTGTTCAGCTCTTTCTACCAAGAGGCAGACAGAGAGCTGGGACCACATGAGGCTCCTGAAGAAGAGGCTAGAGGAGCAGGTCACTAGGGCTAGCAGTGCTCCCATTTTCCATTGGATGTTTTTAGGCCAGGCAGCAGAAAAAGATTCTCTGAGGAGACCAGTAGAGTCAGAACCCCATGTATGGGGCAACCATTTGCACCAAAGCAGTGAGAGGTTACAGCTCTGGTGCTTGTTTGTACTTTTGCACCATTTCACTTGTATGGAAATTGCTATCATATGTCCCAAATTTTGAATTAAAATGAATAGACCATCCAAATCGATTAAACTGGTCAAGAGATTCCAGGAAGGATCAGCAGAAGGAAGAACAGGAGCATCTGTATCCTATAAAATTCCCCAGTGGAAAACAAATCCTGTATTTGATTACTGAGTGTCAACAAACTTGTTATTTTAAAAGTTTCATCAGATGTAGGATTCAGCATTGATTCCTTCCACCTTAGTTTCAACCACAACAGATGGGATTGAAGAATCTGTCTGAAACCTTAAAAAAAGGGTCAAGTTCTGTTTCTGGATTTAATGGCCCTTTACCTCCTTGTAGGACCTGGGGTACAGCAGTATGTGTTTATTCTGCTCACTCACCATTCTTCTCACTGCAGGCTGGGTATGCAGGGGAAGGAATGAAAAGCACAGTGTTTTGCAGTTCTTTCACTTGTAACAACAGCAGCTGCTGCTCCCTGAGCCTCCTGCCCTTCTCTAGTTTTCTTCAACCCTCCCCATCTCCCTTTTCCCACTGTGTGCTAGAACAGCATCTCCACCCCTCCTCCACCCAGAAATAGCAGCAGAGCCTGAGGGGAAATGGTGACTTTATGCTCAAGCTATGGAACAGCTGCTGGAAAGCTCACAAGGAGGAATTCCTGCCGTAGTGCTAAAATATGAAGTTATCTCAGGGATAGGGTTTATGAGTTCACAACAAGAAAGGAACAAACAGAAATAGAGGTGTGCCTAGCTGAAACCTCTGCCCATACACCAGAAGAGATTCAAATTGTCTAGGCAGTCACATCTGGAATTAACTGCTTGGGTGAGACGAATAAAGTCAGGAGTGGTTCCAGCCATCTGTGAGCTTGGTCGAAAAGAACCAGCTTCAGAGTTGAGCTCTGGACTGTTTTCTGTAGGAGATGCTGACCCAAGCTTCTCCAAACACTGGAGAAATTCACACTGGGATTTAACTTTAACAGCTCAGGAACCTTCTATTCCAAAACAGGAGGGTGAGAGGACCACAGAGGAGATAGCTGGAATTTCCTAACTGAACAGAACACAAGAACTCCACTACCACTGGAAACAGGGATAAGCACCCTTATTTGAGGGCTTAACACGGAGCCCACTTCAGAAAGAAGCTTCTGTCTTTACAAACAGAAGTTTGTACAAACAGAAGTTCTAGAAAAGACAGATGGGCAGACTTGGAGACTTCTCTATAGTGGAGCCAGCAGTGATCTGCTGTAAAAATATTTTATTTAGTTTGAAACTCTTATCCAGGGCCAGGCAGCTTTAGCAAGATCAGTCAAATCTTCATGAAGACCAGGAATATGTTTTAGAATCAAGGACAGTTTTAATGACTCCTATATTTACTTTATGTGTGTAAATCCCGCCTTCCAATGCACAAATAAAATTGCTTATTTAAACTTGGCCACTTTTTCAAGCAACCTCTCAACATCCATGTTCTTGGGGAAACAAGACCTACATTGCTGGTATATATATGGAAAAATAACTTGGAATCAGTTGTCTAATTTCAGGGTCTCAAAAGCAATGAAGTTACATTTTGAGGGAAAAGATACTGAACCAGGATGAAGAGATGTGTTGAACTTGTAATGATGATGTAAAGACGATGACTTTTTCTTTTCAACAGGAAGGAAATACAAACTTATAAGTAATGTTATGAATAACTTATCCTTGTGTAAGCAAGAACTTAAGCTATTTAGGCACTACAGAATCAGATCACAAAGCCAGAATAAAACAAGTTTCATGAACTCCATTGCTCACACATTTATCAGGTTTTCTCTATTCTTTTCGAAAATAATTGGACAGCCAGTGTTATTCTCTGTTTAGCACACAAGACAGATCAGCCTTCTTTGGCATGTGAACCACATTTCTAAATCATCTTTAGCCAAAGTCACATATCACATTTGTGGGTCAGGGATTATTCTAGGAGTGGTTCATAGGCAGAAGGCAAAAAGACTCATTCAGGACTCCTGCTTGTGTAAGCTAGATGAGATTTAGCTGGACATGCAGGTAAGTGGCAAAGCCACACAGCATTACTGACTTTGGAAGGTCCTTACAAGTAATTTCATCTCCCTTTTGGGAATTTGAATTACCCAGTATGGATATATCATTTCCTTTGAAGTAACCCTGACAGCTGCACAGTTGCATGCACAGCTTCTGAAATAGTGGTTGGCTACCCTGGCAATAAATATTTACCTGCTGCAATATCAACAGAAATGGCTTATTGTAAAGTTTAGCACATCCAGCACTAAAACAGATGTTGCCACAGGGATCCCACTACACACAGGTTTTCAGAAATTTCTTCCCTTTCCTCCATTCACTCCCATTTAACACATCAGATTTCACTTTGATGTTATATTTTTAGAAATTTGGTTGAAGGAGGTGGGAAGCCAGAATGGGCAACATATCATCATCCTGTTATTCACTGACAGAAATTTTTTGAATCATTGACTGAGAGCAAAGTCTTTGAGCTTTTAGATTCAATACATTTTCTAAAGACATTATGATTTTTGCTTTGCTCTAAAAACCACCCAGCATATCTTTGTTCCAGCTTGCTTTTGTTTGCCTTGACAACTGAGAAGCACCTTTTAAGTTTTTGCTGGAAGAATTAAGAAGGAAAAATATACACACAGAGAAAGAAGCTAAGATGAAGGTGGGGAGACAAAGGGGCTCCGTGGAACAGGGATCAAGGATAGGGAAAAACCTCCCCTTTGCTTAGGATGTGAGCCTAGTGAGGAGAGCACAAGGACCACATCACACAGCCTAGAGGAACAAGGAGATAAATCACAACTTTAGGCAGATGATATCACATTCAAGATACTTCTTAATATGACTGTTTTGTTCCCCAAACACAGTAAATCATCCTAGTGTTGGACAAATTTTCAAAGATCTTATGTCCTTTGGGTTAGGGCAGATAAGCCAAATAATGTCTATGTGCTTGTTAAAACAGAATGATGATGAATTTCCTTTGTCTTGACCATGCCATGAACCAAATCCATGAAGAGCTGCTTGTATACAAAGCAAAGGGTAAATGTTTATAAATGAGTACAAACACAGGATTGGCTGAAAGGGCTTAATGGGAAAGAGGAGAAAACAAAGAAAACACAACTTGCCTGAGCAGAAGTTTTATGATGGTGTCTTTACCATTGGTATCCAGATTTAATAATTCATTCTAATATATGTTAGAAGTTGAAGAATCCTCATCAAGAAAGTAATCCCACTGAGATATACTTTCAGCCATGCTATGCATATAATGGAAGACAAACTTTCAGTTAGAATATTTTTTAAATTCACCTTGTTAAATAAAAAAAAAGTTAGAAAAACTTAATAACTAGTACAGCAGCAGAGCACCAGCTGGCTAGAGAACTGAATAGTGGTAAACAAGCATCTTCGAGCCTGCTCTATCAATGGTTTCAACTCAGCCTTCAGGCTGATTGCTAACACGAATCTGCGCCAGGCCATCACTTCATGTGGCTGACAAAGACTGACAATATTTTTTACAGAGGACTTCTACAGTAAAATTCAGCAACACTTGGGGAAGCCACAGAAGCCTCTGAATACTGAAATCACACAAAACAGTAGCTGAAAAAGCATTAGGCTCAAGGGCAAGATTAACACACAGAGATTCTAGTAAGGCCTCACACCATACCCTATCAGTGGATGGGGAAGATGCAGACCTGCCTTGTTCTGGCTCTCCAAATTCCCCAGTGATATATCTCACTCTTAGGTCAGTGAAGCACCATCTTCCAAGCAAATGTAACCACTATGCCAGCCCTTTGCAAGAGTTAATACAGTATTTCATGAGGGCAATTTTCTGACTACCTATTAATATCAGCTCAGATTCAATTTTATGCAACTAGCCTCCCACTATTAGGTTTGCAGCAAGAGATTTATTATAAGGAGTAAAGATAGGATTCTGCTTTCTATTTTGGTAGTCTTGCTGTGCTTAGCTGTTAATTAAATCTGGGAGCATGTAGGGATAATGACAAGCACACAGACTGATTTAGACACTGCTAAAAGAAGCCACACACTGCCTATGGAAAATACATGACAAGGACATAATACTCCAAACACTAGCATAATTGAAGAGGAATGGCTAACCATCTTTTACATTTACTACTGTCCTGTCACAGCTTAAGCTTCATTTCTATGAGTTATTTAGCCTGACCTGAAATATCACCTGACACTGAGCACTGATGCTGTTTATAAATAATATAACGGATTGGGTTGGAAGAAACCTTAAAGATCATTTAGTTCAACCTTCCCTTGCCCTGGCCAGGGACACCTCCAGTAGACCAGGATGTTCAAAGCTCCATCTGACATGGCCTTGAACACTTCCAAGGATGGGGCATACCCAGTTTTCTTGGCCAACTTTTTTAGTGCCTTACCACTTTCTCAATAAATAATTTCCTCCTAATATCTACTCTAAATCTCCCCTCTTTTAGTTTAGAACCATTACCCCTTGTGCTATCACTACTGGCCGACATAAAAAGTGACTCACCATCTTTTTTTAACTCCCTTTTATATACCAGAAGGCAGCAATAAGATCCCTCTGGAGGCTTCTCTTCTCCAGGCTGAACAACACCAGCCCTCTCAGCCTTTCTTCATAGAAGAGTTGCTCCAGCCCTCTGAGCATCTTGTGGCCTTCTGTGGACCCACTCCAGCAGCTCCATGTCTTTCTTATAGTGAGGATCCCAGACCTGGACACATTATTCCAGGTGGGGTCTCACAAGGGCAGCAGAGGAGAATCCTCTCCCTTCCCCTGCTGACCATCCTGCTCTGGATAAAGCCCAGGATGTGGTTGGTTTTCTCGGCTGTGAGCAAATACTGACAGCTCATGTCCAGCCTTTCATCCAGGAGAACTGCCATGTTCTTCATATGGGCCCACCACAAAAGCATTACAGAATTCTAGGTAGCTGACATCAGTCAGTCTTCCCTTGTCAGTCGCTTCAGTCACTCCATCACAGAAGGACACCAGGCAGGGCAGGCAGGATTTGCTCTTTAGTGAAGCCATGCTGGCCTGTCTTGCATAACCTCCTTGTTTTGCATGCCTCCACACTGCTTCCAGGAGGATCTGCTCCACAATCTTCCCAGGTACAGAAGGGAGACTAACAAGTGTTTGGTTCCCTGGGCTTTCCTTTATCCTCTTTTTAAAAATAGGAAAAATGTTTCCCTTTTTCCAGTCACGGGGGAGTTTGCCTGACTGCCATGACTTTTCAAGTATCATGGAGAGTGGCTTGACAAACACATCAGTCAGTTCCCTCACGACCCGAGATACATCTCATCAGGCCCTACAAACTTGTGTCTATGCAGTTTCCACAAGTGGTCTCAAACTTGCTCTTCACTTACAGTGGGAGGGACTTCACTCCCCAACCCCCACCTGAGCACATTACCCAGATGACACTAATCTCTTACAATTAAAATTTTTGAGAATCCTTTAGGAAAAGAAAGGATTCTCATGCTAGGAGATTGCTTCAAATTTATTTAACTTCATTCCATCCTAAATATAAACACAGCAATTTTTGTGATGTGCAATGGGTTAAAAAATAAAAAATGAGTGTTATTTCAAGAAGAGATTTTAAAACCATGTAAATTTTTCTCTGCCTCTTTTTGCAAGATTCCCATCTCTGCTTACTGAGAGGATGTTAGCACTACATTCAACAGTATGCTTGTAGTATATATGCACAGGGAACACCTGTAAAACCTTTAAATAAATTTGCTGGAGGACTAATAATAGACAGGGAACCACGAGACTATTTACCCTGAACTTCATGTGGGTTTTGATTGCTGCTGCCTCTACATTGCTTCTGGAAGTTAAGATAATATTTTTCATTTAAAGCTAAATCAGTTTTATATATATATATATATATATATATATATATATATATATATATATATATATATATATAAACATGTCAAACACACCACACTTGTATGGGTACATTCTGTCCCTAAGGAATTGCCCCTAAAACAGTGATGCAGACACACTTTTAGTGGTATGAGGCTAAATTCTCCCAGAGAAATGTGAGCTTGCTTATATTATTGTGCAAGAGAAAGATGAGTAACATGAGGTGAATTAAAAGAAACAAAATCACAACCTAAACCAGAACTTTAGATTAACAAATTTAGGAGGGAGGATATGTGCTATTGGAATTAGGCCTGCTATCTCTGAGAATACTGGCCCTAGCATCTTTCATCTGTCACTAAAAATTAACTTCATAAAAAATGATTTTAGGAGGGTGTGATCACACTGCAGTGCCTGGAGAGCTCTCAAAGGAAGCACATGCTTGATGGTGTGATCACAGCAAAACGACAATGGTGTGATCTAAAAATAAATTGGTTCTTTGCTCTGAAGCAGGTTTCTCCCACAGATGCCCAAACCAGAGCCTCCAATTACTGCCTTAAGAGCTAGGCAGAGAAATAAACAATCTGTGGATGGCACTTGTTTTCTACACATCACATCTGCACGTCAGAAAGGTGAGCTTATTGCTGTGTGAGAAAGCATAAACAAATTATTTGATCGTAGGCTATGCATATGAGTAACACCCACGCAAGTACTTTTATACTGAAGTCCCTTCCCAAACATCTAGCAACCCTTATTATTCATTGTCCAAGACAAGACTGGACCACAACAAATTGCAGTTCAGATCCAGGAGTGCTAAAAATTAGCCTGTGAAGGTGTATCCAGCAGAGCATCAGTTTTGAGAGAAATAAATCCATTTGACAAGTCCATCATACAGTGGGCATAACTGCAAATGACTGTCCTGAATCCAAGCAATCATCCATCACTGGCTCAGTAGCTGTGCCAGGTACACTGCGGGGCTTACAGCACTTCTGCATCGTCCTTCCCACACACCTAAGAGCAAAGCAACCTATTTCCTCTGGTGCTCACTGAGCATCAGTCTGCCACTGGGAAAACATTCAGCTGATGATGAGCCTGAAATGCTAATTGTGAGGACTACTGTAATTGTGAGGACTACTGTAATTGTGAGGACTACTGTAATTGCATCCTGGGAATTCAAGGTGCTGTTCTCATACCAAACAGAGCTCCCATCCTCTTACAAAAAAGCTGTTTGTTTGCTGTGCATTATAAGTCACTAGGTATATATATGAACTAACAAAATGGTTAACATCTTATTAACATATAAGATCCCCACTGAACAAACAGAAAGCCTTCTGGTAGCCTAAGCTCTACATGTCCTGAGGCACAGAACAGTATTTTGCCTTATTTACTCTATATTCAGAAGAAAGGGTCCACAGTCAAGATTAGGGGTGAGGTTTTTTTGGATGTGTTTTTTTTGTTTGTTTGTTTGTTTGTTTTTCTCTCAGATTTCCTATTTTAATAGAAACCCCCCCCCCAAAAAAAAACAAACACCAAAAAACAACCAAAAAAAAAAGCACCACCAAAAAACTTTGCACCTTTGACTCAAAAAGTGCTACCAAGAAAAGCAGTTGCAACAACGTAGCTGCTTTCCTATTTTCTTAACCCTTTTAGCAAGTCTGGACATGGCCATTCACCTAGACTCCAAAAGAATCTTGGTGCCTAAATTGAGAAGCAATGAATCCCTAAAGCAGCCAGATTAGGTGAGATCTACCTGCATTCTCCTTTACCAAGCTGGTAAGCAGCTGGATCTGAGAAAACCCATCCCAAAACCAAAGGGAAGTGATCTGCATAAGAAGTTACTGCACTTACTGAACATCAACATTTGCAATCATCCATTCCCTAAGTTCTTTACACAGTGGTGGCTACGTTCCCTTAAAATTGAGACAATTTTGGTTTTTACCTAATATTCTTTTTGACATATATACATATAGAGACCAGCAAACAAAGCTCTACATCCTTGATGGAAAATCACCTCAAATCACTCATCACACATCTTCTATCAAATGCTACATTCAGAGTGGATTGTTTACTAGCAAACAGATTTGGAATAGGCAAATGCTACAAAGAAACAATCCCAACCCCAGCATTTCTGTGATCCCATCAAGCAATTAAACTCAAGGAGAAAATATATTTCAAAACCAAACACCTTTAAGGTGTCAGGACACTTCACAGTGCACAAGAACCTGAAAACAGACCCAAAATAGAAGTCTCAATTATCTCACGGTAGACAGAAAAAAAGCACAACAGTTCCAGAGATAGCAAATTTGCTCTGTTTTAATTTTTTTTCCTTTTACCAATCAATTCATTCACTGATGTGAACAAATATTAGTTTAAGTTAATGCCATACCAAAGACACTTGGTGACTTTATCCACCCTTGTTCCTCATTACAAGCACCTCCCTTTGCTCCCTGTAAGAGCAGAGCATCTGCCCTGGAAGCCCAGACTGATGCTGTCCCATACACACACAGATGTGCAGCATATTGGCTCATCCTCACACTGCAGCTCAGAGAGAATGGCTTTTTATGGCTGCTCTGTCTGCAGAGAATGGGAATGCTCTGGCATTAAAGTGTGTGGTGCATCTCTGGGAAGCCAGGATAAAATTATATAAGCTGCAGGCCAGTGTACAATGGAGCAGTTGAAAGGCCTCATACGTACAATGCAGGAAGCGTAAATGCGTGTTTGTGCAGACACTTTCCAAAGTAACAAACAAAGGGGTTTACAAACTCATTTTAAGGTCTCGACAGGCAGATCTAAAGAAACACACCATCTCTCTAAGCTCCTTCACTAATACTAGCTATTCCTAGTCCTAGGGACTCCATTCAAAGCTAGCATTACCTTTTTGAAACGCAGTTTCAAATCACCTGCTCCTCCACTTCCACCCCCTCACAAGGAGCAGCCCGTGCACCAGGCAAACCTGCTGCCCTCCCGCATTGCTTCCAGACCATTGCCTCCTCCGTGCCACGACCGCTCCCTGGATCCATGGAGCTGCCACCTCGGCCTGCCTCACACCTCGGGCTCCCTCGGGGCGGGAGACCCGGTCCCGAGAAGCACAGACAGGTCTGGGGGCTCCCAGGGCATCGCTGGGCCGGGGCTCCGTCCCAGCTGCCCTCAGGCAGCGGAGCCAGCACCGCCGCCGCGCGGAGCCGCGCCCCGCCCGCAGCACCTGCCGGGCCGCGGAGCTCTCCGGGTCATGGCCAGGGGCTACGGGAGTCGCAGCAGCCAGGCCGGCTTTTGTTCCCGCGTGCCAGAACGCCGTTCCTGCCCTCCGCGGCCTTGCCTCGCACCGTGCGCGGAGGGAGCGTGCGTGTGACGCCAGCGGGCTCGCCCCGCATCCCGGCACTCCGCTCCTCCCGGGCACCTCCTGCTCCGCCAGCCGCAGCGCCAGGAGCGGCACCTGCGGGCACGGAAAATCCCACCGGCAGTAACCGATGCACCAAACTCATGGAGCATCTTCTTCCCTCCCTTCTGAGAAATAACATTTTGCAGTCATGAGGACTCTGGTCTCTCCCCTGTACTCTTTAAACTGAAAGGAAAGAAAAAAAGGTGGGAAATAAAAAATAGTTTAAAGAGCACGAACAGCACTGAAAAGACTAATAGAAACTTGATATCCAGGTAGAGGGACCAGGAACAGCCCAGAACACAAAGTCAACTCCTACCTTCTGCATGTGGCTGTGACAGGTGAGCACAAAAGTTGGAGACCCACTGCACTCAAGCTCCAGAGCTTACTTACCAATATTTCTTGTTGAAACAGTGGCACTCCAGTGCTGTTCTCTCTTGCTTCTGTTTGGTTACTAATCCTTACTGCACGGGAAAAGCAGAGTTGTGTTTCATTTAACCCCTTCAGCCTCTCAGGTTCTTCTCAAGAGTTTTCACTTTTGCTTTGGGAAGCCAGCGCCGTAAGCATGCACACAGGCACGCCTGCCTTGGAATTGTTTCTAGCTTCTGTAGTCTGTGTGTGAGCACGCACATGAGCTCCAAACTGTGCCTAAAGTTGTTGCAGGGGCGGAGCCCTTTGTAAGTAGTTTTATTTTAGCTGTAGGCATCATATCAAAAGAGAGACAGCTATCCACAGATCCCTTCAGTATTCATTTTCAGTAAGTTCTTAACTCTGAAATAAAAAATTAAACTTCACATTTACTTTAAAACTACAGCCTGAGTCACAGTTCATAAATAAACTTTTGACAAAAGAAACTTCGAACTTAAACACAATTCACAGCTAGATTTGGGTCTAGGCAAAGTTAAGCAGACCCTTAAAATCTGAAAAGAGCAGTAATTTGGATACAGACCTGAATTTAACCAAAGACAATGGCAGCACAGGTTTCTCTATTTTTTTTCCCTCTAACAAATGCCATGCAATTCAGAAACCCCCTGAAAACTCCCATGAAGGAACAATTTAACAACATTAAAACTGTTAAAGGAAAAGGAATCTAGTTGGATGCATTACAAGGAAAAACTTGTGGTTTTAATCATGTGGATACTAGAGAAAACATTGCATAACAACTTGTGTGTTGCCATTGTTTTATTTTGCAAACAGATAAATCTGCTCCCTATTGATTTTGTCCTCTGCATAGTATAAAACAAATAAATAATGAAATACAGAGACCACTGATCTAGAAAAATAGATCCTGGTCCAGCAATTATAACAGCTATGAGCATTTCAACCCTAATTAATTTTATGACCAAAGTTTGTCAGATCATGAGAATAGCTTTAAAGTTTTAAGTTTGGGCTGGTCTTTTATGTTTTGCCTTCCAGTTTTAGAGTCCTTTTTCATCAGTAGTTAATTTGTAACTATAAGAGAGAGAACCTTGCTTTCCAAAGGAAAGATGAAGCTTCCACTTTCAGGTAACTCCACAGGTTGGATCTTCCATGGAAGACATCAAGATGTGCAATGAAATCTCCAGAACTGGTATCACTTCTGTCCTCTTGGCCATGTTGCTGCTTTAGATAACCAAAAGGGACAATATCCTTGCC